TTTTCTTTATATATATATGACAAAAACAATGGCGACCTCAAGCATCAAGACCATTCCAATAATGGCGATCCCAAATTTCTCTATTTGTCACAAGCTCGAGCTCCTCAAGGACGAAGGCAAAACACACYACCSGAAACGCSAAGAAGAAGATGAAGGGCTAAGCTACGAGTTTCAAGAGATGRTAGAGTCTTTGCCTAAGGAGAGAGGTTGGAGAACTCGTTACCTTTACCTATTCCAAMGMTTTTGGTGCCAATCCAAGGAAATTCAAGCTATCATTTCATTCCAKAGACATTTCCAACCACTRCAAAACGACGTCGTTCTCGCCACCATACCTAAATCCGGTACAACTTGGTTAAAAGCTTTAACTTTTACCATCCTTAACCGACACTTGTTTGATCCGGTTTCCTCAAGTACCCACCACCCACTTCTCACATCCAACCCTCATGACCTRGTACCTTTCTTCGAGTACAAGCTTTACGCGAACGGAGACGTTCCTGARCTCTCCGGTCTAGCCAGTCCAAGAACGTTCGCAACACACATCCCTTTCGGTTCCTTGAAAGATTCGATCGAGAAACCAGGTGTGAAGGTCGTGTACTTATGCCGGAACCCGTTTGACACATTCATCTCCTCATGGCATTACATCAACAGCATCAAGTCGGAGTCAGTGAGCCCGGTCTCGTTAGAAGAAGGGTTTGATCTGTATTGCAGAGGAGTGATCGGGTTTGGTCCGTTTTGGGAACACATGTTGGGATACTGGAGGGAGAGCTTGAACAGGCCAGAGAAAGTCTTTTTCTTAAGGTACGAGGATCTGAAAGAAGACATAGAGCCCAACTTGAAGAAGCTTGCAAGCTTCTTGGGACTTCCTTTCACTGAAGAAGAGGAYKYAAAGGGAGTAGTGAAGGCGATCTCGGATCTGTGTAGCTTCGAGAATCTAAAGAAGTTGGAAGTGAACAAGTCAAGCAAATCGATCAAGAACTTTGAGAATAGGCACTTGTTTAGGAAAGGAGAAGTGAGTGATTGGGTTAACTATCTGTCGGCTTCACAAGTGGAGAGATTGTCAGACTTAGTGGATGACAAGTTAGGTGGATCTGGTCTCAGTTTCAGGTACGGCTAAATAAAGCCATGTGCTCACGTTTCTACTCTAGTGTTTGAGGGGGCTTTTAAGTTTAAAGTTAGTTGTTTTGTTGTTACAGATAGAAGAAAGAAAACAATGAAGCAACGTCCACGATCTAGTTTGTCGTTTTTTATTTTAAGAATAATATGTCATTGTGTTTGCCATTATGTTTTTATTTGTACTACATAAAGTATAAATATCATGGGTACTTTCACTGAATTTTTTGATAAAAAATATCTCATATGTGTATGTATTCTATAGATTAGTTATAAACTATATACTATTCTGCAAAATAAAAATCAGAAAAGTTTGATATTTCAGTTTACATGTTGTTATATAAGTCAATAATTTCATACTGTCGACAATATGGATTCACTTATGCATTAGCATCTCAAATATTTTACTTTTAAATTGCAAATTAAATTATGTAAAATTGTAATGTACATTGAGCTAATGACAAACAAATTTTCTAACAATTCTAAATGCAACCTTTGAGGTTTTCACGGTATAAATAACTATTTTACTCTTGTTACGTCTTTTTTTTTCCAAACGCAACTTTTACGTCATAGTTAATTATTTTATTAAAATAAAAGATTACAATTAAATATTTTTATATCTTTTTTTATTTTTGGATATAGTTTTTATATCTTTATATTTCATAACTGACAAATTAATATAAAACCGAGTTTAATGCTATTCGACTTTCATTCAATTTCTATATTTCATAAATCAAGAAAAGAAAACAAAAGCAAAACTAGAATTTCTAAACCAAAACCAAATTGAATTAGATTTGACACATTTTTCTTGTGCTAAAGATTGGACACACTTAATGGTACCCAAAATTACGTAATTATCTACTCAGATTTCATTTTCTCCGATTGGACACTGCCACAGAAAAATGATGTATTATATAGAAAAATTAGGTCATATATTACCTAACGAAAATGTAATTTATTATCTAACATTTAATAAATCAAAATATAGTAACTAACAATTTAATGACTTGATTTTTTTTTTACCCTTAATAAAAAATAATAAAACCAAAACATTTA